CTAATACATCCAGAGGCGGAGCCAGGATTTGAAGCTTATGGGTTTGGGGTTCTAATCCATTTAAGTTAATGGGTTCTAAATTAATAATTTGTACATACTCTATGAATTTTTTAAAACAAATATATAGATTGGACCAAAGCGACTGTGTTCGACCGAACCCGTACTCGATTGGCTAGCTCCGCCCTTGAATACATCTCATCAGCTATCAAAAGCTAGCCTTGGTCAAAAAGCAGGTCACTGGCTTTTGGAAATTAGGGCCCCAACTTTTCTCCTTTTTATTAAGGCAGAATAGCCTGAAAGATACCTTTACTTGTTCGATTTTGACATCCCGATCCCTCTACTTCGCAAAGTTTCAATCAGACACTTAAACTTAATAAAAAAGTAAATTTTAAACACCTCCAACACCGCGTGTTACTTACTCGTGCTTACATAGAGGACATGTCACATCCATGTCATATAATTTAATACCACATCATCATTAATATTTTATTAAAATTCTAAATATATCCCCTTTTTTCTCCAAAGCAGTGATTTAAATTTGGAAATTTTATTTTTAATTAGATTTTAACAAATAAAAATGTGGGTCCCTCCCAGCAGGTTATTTCAAATTTTTATGAAATCTCACACCTCAATACAAAAAATTTCAACTGGAACCCCAATTCATCTTCTTCTAAATATCCGTCAACATCTCCGACAGTTTTGCTGGATGAAGTCTCCTTTTTCTTTTTTGCACTTTTCATTTCTCTGACCCTCTCTATTATCTTTCATCTTTTTGGAGTCCGTTCTTTTTCAATTTCTCAAGTCCTAGTCTTAATCGATCTAAAAAATCTCTCATCTTTTGGACTCTTTGTCAGAGAATGGATTCTCTAGTGGTAATGATTTTTGGGTTGTAAGTTAAATCATTACTATCTTGAGCTTTCCTGCTAATTTCATCAGTAAACATCACAGGTGTTCAACAACTTCAGTCCAACGACCCAAATAAGAATATAATCACAAGTTTGGCTCAATAATTTAATAGTACTCCAGATCTCGAACTCATACACTTCAACGAAATTCAATTTCTCATATTCAAGGTTTAACTTCAAATGAGTTTTGATGTGTTTAATTTTGCTTAACCGAATCCCCAAACAGTAAAAAATCATCTCATTTGACAACGATTTATGGAGGGATGAGATTCTGGTGGTGGTGGAAGAGAAGGACGAGGGAGAGGTGGCAGCGGTAATGGAGAAGGGCGGCAGCAATGGCGGGTGGAAGAAGGAGAGAGGAGGTGACGGGTTGAAAATGTTTTTTTTTGTCATTTTCTTTTATTTTTTATTTATTTTTTGGATTTTTAGTTTTCTTTTTAATCAAAATCGCCCATCCACGCTCGCAATGTACGTGTATCCTACGCTCTTTGTCCAGCTCAACTTGATAAATGCGAGATAAGCTCGGTCAACGGTCAGAGGTATTTAAAAGATCTGTTTTGATAAGTTAAGGTGTCTGGATGAAAATATGTGAAATACAAGGACCGGGATGTCAAAACGAAGCAAGTACAAGTATGTATTAGGCTATTCTGCCAAAAAANACCCTTCATATGATGGTAAGAGATGTGATTGAATGTGTTCTTGTTCATACAGAATTGGTATAGTTTGGAACCTCGAAATAGGTGACATTAACGTTTTGAGAAGTTTAATTTCATTAGAATTAGAAATCCATCCAAATTCGAATTAGGTAAAGTTTTAAATATTACGATTTTATCCAATATGAAATTATTTTTTATAGAAATGTTTTAATTTTTTTATGGACATAAAAGTCTATCAATATTTTGGGGATACTTTTGTCATCCAACATTTACCGTGGAACATTCGTGCTTTTATAGTAAAAATATATGATATATGAAATCCTAATATTTAGGGGCTTTAAAATCAATTGAAATTTGCCTTATATATCCTTTTATTATTTGAACTATTAAATGCAATTGACCAATAATTAAAGGTTTTAAAAGAATTGACATAAATTGATACATGTCAAACTATCAAAGACGGCGTGGATATAGAATTGTATACAAAATCTTGGATTTTAAAACGTATGCAAAATTTTACCTTCACGTAGACTACTAATTTTTTCTTTTATTTCTAGTCATATTCATTGGAAGTTCAAAAAAGTTACCTTATTGAAATTTGATTAGCTTAATTATTTTTCTAATATTTACAACTTTGACATTAACTAAAACTTTGAAGACTACATCTCTCTTTGTTTGAGTTATTATTGTCATAGAATTGTAACGAATTAAATTTTTAGAGCATTGACATTAACTAATATTTTGAAAACACCACCAAAGGATGTGGTGCAGTGGATGAGACTGCTCCTCCCTTAACCAGAGGTCTCGAGTTCGAGTCCCGGATATGAAAAAATTCTTGGTAGGGAGCGCTTCCCCCCGAAAGGGGCCCTACGCGGTGCGAATCCGGATATAGTCGGGCTCCAATGTGGGTAACAAAAAAAAAATATTTTGAAAACCAAATCTCTCTTTATTTGAATTATTCCTTATCATAGAATTCTACACAATTAATTATATATAATTAATTATCTTAGTTGAACAGCAAGACTAAGTAAAAAAAACTAGGCAGAATAGCCTGAAAGATACCTTTACCTGTTCGATTTTGACATCCCGATCCCTCTACTTCGCAAAGTTTCAATCAGACACTTAATAAAAAAGTAAATTTTAAACACCTCCAACACCGCGTGTTACTTACTCGTGCTTACATAGAGGACATGTCAGATCCATGTCATATAATTTAATACCACATCATCATTAATATTTTATTAAAATTCTAAATATATCCCCTTTTTTCTCCAAAGCAGTGATTTAAATTTGGAAATTATATTTTGAATTAGATTTTAACAAATAAAAATGCGGGTCCCTTCCTAGCAGGTTATTTCAAATTTTTATGAAATCTCACACCTCAATACAAAATATTTCAATTGGAAACCCCAATTCATCTTCTTCTAAATATCCGTCACCATCTCCGACAGTTTTGCCGGATGAAGTCTCCTTTTTCTTTTTTGCACTTTTTCTCTGGCCCTCTCTATTATCTTTCATCTTTTTGGAGTCCGTTCTTTTCCAATTTCTCAAGTCCTAGTCTTAATCGATCTAAAAAATCTCTCATCTTTTGGACTCTTTGTCAGAGAATGGATTCTCTAGTGGTAATGATTTTTGGGTTGAAAGTTAAATCATTACTATCTTGAGCTTTCCTGCTAATTTCATCAGTAAACATCACAGGTGTTCAACAACTTCAGTCCAACGACCCAAATAAGAATATAATCACAAGTTTGGCTCAATAATTTAATAGTACTCCAGATCTCGAACTCATACACTTCAACGAAATTCAATTTCTCATATTCAAGGTTTAACTTCAAATGAGTTTTGATGTGTTTAATTTTGCTTAACCGAATCCCCAAACAGTAAAAAATCATCTCATTTGACAACGATTTATGGAGGGATGAGATTCTGGTGGTGGTGGAAGAGAAGGACGAGGGAGAGGTGGCAGCGGTAATGGAGAAGGGCGACGGCAATGGCGGGTGGAAGAAGGAGAGAGGAGGTGACGGGTTGAAAATGTCCTTTTTTGTCATTTTCTTTTATTTTTTATTTATTTTTTGGATTTTTAGTTTTCTTTTTAATCAAAATCGCCCATCCACGCTCGCAATGTACGTGTATCCTACACTCTTTGTCCAGCTCAACTTGATAAATGCCAGATAAGCTCGGTCAACGGTCAGAGGTATTTAAAAGATCTTTTTTTATAAGTTAAGGTGTCTGGATGAAAATATGTGAAATACAAGGAACGGGATGTCAAAACGAAGCAAGTACAAGTATGTATTAGGCTATTCTGCCAAAAAACTATAAGTAAACGAGGAAGTATTTAAAAATATATTAAAGAGAGAAAAAAAGGTGGTTGATAAAAGTCAATGATACAAATGAAGCTGTAGAATATAACGCTTAGTACATAAATTTATTATTATAGTTAAATATTTAAAACTAAGAACGAGTTTATATTAATATTTGAATAACAAAATATAAATTTTTCCTTTAATAACAAATTAGTAAATTTTTGAAGTAACTTATTAGATAAATAAACTGACTCCATTTTTCTAAATTCATCATATAAATGGAATTATTTTTTAGTCGACAAAATTCTTAATATAGTATTAAGACTCAGATTGATAAAAGTGCTAAGTTGAAGCAAAAGTGAAGAAATAGTAGAGACAAAACACATTCTAAATGAGTTATCATTAATTTTTTTTTTAAAATTTTTTTTTGCATTTCTCCTAACAAATGACAGCTTGTTGTAAAATACTAATTCAACATTAGTTATTTTTAGGCTTCATACTTTCATTTATCAATTTTTTTCTATGAGCTATTGGACCACCTCTTATTCACAAATCTTTAAAAAATCAAAGGATTTAATTTTAAATTTGAGTTATCTAATAACTCTTTGAAGAACCACAATAAAAGTATAGTTGATCATATTTGTGATTTCTCCAACAAATATAGTTAAAAATATTTGTACCAAAACTCTTAAATATTCAAGGGCTATTTGTACCACCCCCTTCTGCTAGAAATTAGGCAAGTTCATTAAATTTTGAGTAAAAGCTACTAAGCATAGCTCATACATCTAGATATTTATTAATATTTGCTCCCTTCTTATGTTGTGACCGTCCATTTCAGCACACAAAAACAAAATTCAGGTGTAGGTAGGCAGTTTGAGTTAAATTTCTATTCACTGACAATAAAATTCTGCACAGCCACTTTATTTCTTTTAGTATAAAAAGATAAATATTACTAACAACATAAATACAAACTGGTAAGATGATTTAAAGGACAAACATTTTAACTAATTCCCGCCTTCCCTCCTATGGACAATAGGTTTGGTTGAAAATTAAGACAAATACTCAGGCAGCTCTATCAACAATATATATGTTTGGTTTTGTTGATCTTGAAAATCCTCAATTAATTTCAGTAAGAAATGGCTGCCTCAGCTCTAGTTTCTTTATCCAAGAAAATTATCAAACCATTCTCTCCAACTCCTTTTTCCGAAAGAATTTACAAGCTTTCCTTCATTGATCAATTCAATAGTACACAATATATCCCCTTAGTGTTCTTCTATTCCAAAAATAAGGACAATGTAGTAACACCCTCAATTGAACCAAGTGATATGTGTAAGGTTATTGAGAATTCCCTTTCAAAAACTTTATCTGCTTATTATCCTTTTGCTGGTACATTAAGAGACAATGTTCATGTCGAGTGCAACGATATCGGTGCTGATTTTTTCAAGGCTCGATTCGATTGTCCCATGTCTGAAATCCTTAAAAGTCCCGATACAAATGTCAAAGAATTAGTATATCCTAAGGATATACCATGGAATGTTGTTACATCTAATAGAAAGTTGGTCACAGTTCAATTTAACCAATTTGATTGTGGAGGAATAGCTCTAAGTGCATGTGTATCACACAAAATTGGAGATATGTGCACAGTATCCAAATTTTTACAAGACTGGGCTGCAATTGCTCGTGATTCGAACTTAAAATTGTGTCCTCAATTTATTGGATCGTCCATTTTCCCACCCACAAATGAACCTGTGAATGAGCCACCTATTCAAAAATGTGTTACAAGAAGGTTAGTCTTTTCAAATCATACATTAAGATCACTCCTCTCTGAATCATCACAAGTGAAAAATCCAACTCGGGTAGAAATACTCACAGCACTTACTTATAAATGTGGTATGAAAGTGAATTCGTGTTCATTCAAGCCATCTATCTTATTCCAAACTGTGAATTTAAGATCTCTTATTCCTCTGCCAGATGATACTCCTGGAAATTTTAGTTCTTCCCTTTTTGTCCCTACATATAATGAAGAAGAAATGAATTTATCAAGATTGGTTAGTCAGCTAAGAAAGGAAAAAGAACAACTCGTTGCTAACTACAAAATGTGTAAAGGGGGTCAAGATTTGGTTTCAACAACAATAAGACCATTTCAAGAAATAAGGAAGTTGTTTAAGGATATGGATTTTGATATGTATAGGTGTAGTAGTTTGGCTAATTATCCAATAAATGATTTAGACTTTGGATGGGGTAACCCTAATAAAATAAGTTTGGCGGACGGTGTATTTAGAAATACTTTTCTGCTATATGATAACAAGACAGGAGATCAAATAGAAGCGCAGATAAGTTTGGATGAGGAAAGTACAATGTCTGCATTTTTGAGAGAGATGGAGCAGCTTCTTGAATTTGAAATTTTGCTATGAAGAAATTAAAATGGAAGGTCGATGTTGATTAAACAATTTAAATAAAGATGTGCACGAAGTTGTTTTAAATTTTGGACACATTATTTAATTTATAATGTCATTTGAAATAATTAATACACTCATGTTGTTGTTACGAACCATGCTTGCTTTTGAAGATAGAACGTAGTCATTCTGACCCAACGGCTACATTCAATCTTCAAGCTCCAGGTGCAATTAATCTCCGCAAGTCTGATTCATGACATCAAGTTGAGGGTTATTAAGTTTTTTTATTTCATTTTAATTTTAAGTACAAGTTTCAATTGTATCAAGTTCTTGATAGTTATATTAGTTACACAGGCGGAGACAATTGTAATACGTAGAATGTTTGGGAATTTAGTTTATTTTTTCATCGCTTATACTCGATATTATGTATCAGACTAGAGTATGATAAGTAATTGAACGAGAAATCTCCTCTCCCTTGTCCTTTTATCTCTCTTCTTCTACCTATTTTCTCTGCAATTTCTTTTCTTTTTTCTTCAAGCTTTTGATAATTGTTACAATTGATACTAGGACACAAACTAGTTAGGGTCAGCTTCGTGAGAAACCACTGTTATGAACTGTCACGACGCCAGTCCGCTCTCCATGAACTATCGTGACGGCTCCTAGTCTCTACGACTAGGTAAACCTAACAAATGCGGAAAAAAGAAACAATTGCAGAAGAAAGTAATTAAAAACCGAGATAACAAGGTTAAACAGTGTATAAGATGTCGTCTGACATATAACAGTACAAGAATCTCAATCTAACACTCCCAAAATCCGGAACCCCATGAATCACAAGCTAAAAGATTACATAATAAGCTTTAACTCCAGAATGTCTACCAACAAGGGAAAATACAAAAAGGGCTATACTAGTACTGAGAATAGAAAGGGACTCTTCGGTCTGCGAACGCGGCATATATACCTCGGAATCTCTACAAAATGCCCTGCCTCAAGCGTGATAAGTCTGAGTGGGAGTACCTGGATTTGCACATGAAAAACATGCACAGGAAGGGCATGAGTACACCACAGCGGTACTCAGTAAGTGTCAAGCCTAACCTCGGTCGGGTAGTGACGAGGAGGTCAGGGCCCAACTGAGGTTAAAGGAAATATAAGATATAACAGTGTAGAATAAGACAGTATACTTAAGTGCAACAGTAAACAGTAACACAGGATAGAAGAACAACAACAACTTTAACAGAAACAAAGTAATCACGGAAATAAATACAGCTCAATGCAGAGTTAACAACCGGGGATCTCTCAGTATCCCGAGGATCTCTTAGTACCCTCAATATGTGTGCTGGGGATCTCTCAGTATCCCGAGGATCTCTTAGTATCCTCAATATATGCTGGGGATCTCTCGGTATCCCAAGGATCTCTTAGTATCCTCAATATACGTGCTGGGGATCTCTCGGTATCCCGCACTACAGCCCAAATCAGTATAGGTGCAAGGGATCTCCCAGAATACAAATCAATAGTCCCAAAGTAACAAGCAGGGGGATCTCCCGGGATACCGTCCCGTAGTCCCAAAGTAAACACACAGCAGCAACACGAAGAATACTCAATTCAGTTCAAATTTCATATCAAGGTAAAAACAGGTATTTCTAACTTAGCATGCCACATATAATCCAGATAAGGCAGTATGAACAAATAAAGCAATTAAGGCAATTAGACATGGTTCCCTAAGCTAACAGCAGGCTTACATTGCAAATAGTATAAGCAGGAAAGGAAACACAATTAGAATTACTGAATGAAAACAGGATATTTCAACAATTAGCACAAGTACGCACTCGTCACCTTACGTACAAGGCATCTCAAGTATCAACAATACCAAATCCTAGGGGGAGTTTCCCCCACACAAGGTTAGGCAAGCCACTTACCTCGAACCGGCTCAAAATCAACCCGAAACCACGTTCTTGCCACGAGTACTCGACTCCAAATGGATCAAATCTATTCAATTCAATTGCATAATGTACATAACACTTCAATTAATTGATTCTACAAATAAATTCTAAGCTAATACGCGAAATTAGGTAAAATAATCAAAACGCCCTCCGGGCCCACGTCTCGGAATCGGGTAAAATTTATATTTTCAAAATCCTCATACTCTCACGAGTCTAACAGTATCAAAATTATCCAAATCCAATGTCAAATTGCCAATCAAAACTCGGAATTTAGGTCTAGGAACTTTCTCCAAATTTTTCCCCAATTTTCATCTCAAATCCAAAATTAAATGATAAAACTAACAATAGAATAATGGAATACAACTAGAAAGGGATAAGGAATTATTACCCACTGATTTCCTCTTCAAAATTCTCCCAAAATCGCCCTCTCCCGAGCACCCAATCAATTTTTCTAACTTTTGAACTAAACCCTCGATTCTACCCCTTTTCTGACTAGTGAAACCGCATCTGCGGCTCTGGGACCGCACCAGCGGTCCCGCTACTGCGGAACACAAGTCGCATCTGCGACGTTTCATTAAAGCTAAATTTTTGCACCTGCGGCTCCTTTACCGCACCTGCGGTCTCACAGGTGCGTTGGCCATTTCGCACCTGCGATTTGCTGGAGCCTGGCCAATCTCGCTTCTGCGATCACATAGCCGCTTTTGCGGCGTCGCACCTGGGGTCCTACACACGCAGGTGCGGTTATGACAGGAAACACAGCTTCAGCTGCCAACTCCAAATGCCTAACTCTCCGTCAACCATCCGAAATCATCCCGAGGCCTCGGGACCTCAACCAAAAGTACGAACAAGTCATATACCACTATCCAAACTTATACCAATCCTTAAAACACCTAAAACAACATCGAAACATCTAATTAACCATGGATTAAAGCCTAGAACTTCAAAAACTCTCAATTTACGCTTTCGATCAAAAAGTCTATCAAACCTCGTCCAAATGACCTGAAATTTTGCACACACGTCACATTCAACACTACGGAGCTACTCCAACTCCCGGAATTCCATTCTGACCCCGATATCAAAATCTCACTATCGAACCGGAAACTTCCAAAATTCAACTTTCGGCATTTCAAGCCTAAATGAGCTACGGACCTCCAAAACACAATCCGAACACGCTCCTAAACCCGAAATCACCCAACGGAGCTAACGGAACCAACGAAATTTCATTCCAAGTCCGTCTTCACACTGTTCCGACTACGGTCCAAATTCTAAAAGTTAAACTCTCATTTAGGGACTAAGTGTCCCAAAACTCTCCGAAACTCCAAATAAATCCTCCCGGCAACTTACAATAGCAGAAACAGACACGGGAAATGCAGTTAATAGGGGATCGGGGCGTTAATTCTTAAAACGACCGGCCGGGTCGTCACATGAAACAAAGAATGGAACGCATCGATGAAAGTGTATTGTAGGGTTATTTTATTCTACGTATATAAATTATAATTCTTCATATAAGATTGTTTTCTCTACTTTTACAATAAAAGAAGTAATACACCAAATAAATTGACATTTGAAGTATCGTGTTCAATTTATTTGTTTTGGCTCAATTCCCGCTTTTCAACAACATATAGCTAAGTGGAAATAACTCAATATGCCCAACCCTCCGGCCTATGGAGGGTGGGGGAGGTGCTCTGCCACTAAAATAAACCTCACTCGTTAAATAATAGGTTTTAGAAATTACTGTATTAACTAGGTCATGTCTCTGAGACATTGGGCTTGAGCTTGAGCGATAAGTAATCGGGCAAACTATACATTTGGCTCGTCGATCAAAAATAATTATATTCGTAAGTCAAATATACAAAAAAAATTATATTAATTATGTATAAAGTAATGTATATTTATGTATATTAGACACTAATATACAAAAAAATTATATTTTGCCGCCTATTACTTTTGATAGAGGCTATACTATGTAGTTTTACTTAGCTATTCCATCCAATAGCAGACATCCTTTCACAAGGCCCATGTGCCCAAACATGGTTTAGTGGTTATTAACTTCCCACAGCTACCATATACATAATTACTTCCTATAGCTATTACTTAGTTATTACGCGACTGTAGTCGCTCTATTCGCGCTATCGTGGTCATGAATACAGTAGCGGAATTCACCGAAAAAATAGTGGAGTTCAGTTGTGTGTAACGATCGGCTGGTCGTTTTGAGAGTTAGAGCCCCGATCCCCTATTAACTGCTTCCCCTGTATCTATTTCTGCTATTGTGATTTGGCGGGAGGTTTCGTTTTGATTTTTAGAAGTGTTTGGGACACTTGGTCCCTAAATGAAGGTTTAAACCTTAAGATCCGGACCGTAATTGGAACTGTATGAAGTCGTTAGTCTTAAATTTAACAACGATTTTGTTTTGTTTATGTTTTAAGACATCAAAGGCTTGTCGGGGGAGGGGTCCATCCATATCAAGAGATTATCAGTTGTGGAGGCAAGAGGCAGGTAAAACAGTACGAGTTATGTGTAAATATGAAAGATTACTTGTTTTTCGACTCTAATCATCCCATTGAGCTGGCCTACCAATGTTACGCTGAATTACTGTGGAATGGAACTCCGGATGTCGTAGCCCCTTATAACTTAAAATCCTTTTTTGAACTTTCAACATAACGTGATGATGTCACTGGAGGAATCACGTTGTTAATGCCTACTAAAGGAAAGAAAAATAAAATGTAAAACATTTATGTTAAAGAGCTTGATCTCTACTATTTTTACTGTTCTTCTTGTGTTCAATTTATGAAGAGTGTCAATCTTTAGATTTGATGAAATGACTTCAGACCTCATGACCAGTCTTTCATTACTAAACAAAAAATCAGAAATTAGTTGGAATCATAAAATCTACTTTTCATTTGTATATGCAATTGGCGAAGGATATGTGAAAAAATGTCCTTTTGATTAAGGAAAATTATTGTAAGATACATAAAACTTCCCCTATTTGTCTGTTCTTTTACTTTGTTCTTATGCAGTCAGCTTTATTTCTCTGTAGTCAGCCATTGCACCATTATTGGAACTTGAAAAGCTGAATGTATC